TGGTAAGACAAGACCTACCCGCAACAGAGCCATGCTGGCTGCCTTTCAGAATCTTACCCTCAATGACCATATCTCACATAGATTCTTTAATGAGTTTTTCCAGGATTTTCTCTTGGATGGAGGTTAGGCTGATAGGCCTATAATTGCCCAAGTCTTCCCTCTTCCCCTTCTTGAAGATGGGCACAATGTTGGCGCTCTTCCAATCCTCAGGGATCTGCCCTGTGTTTCATGATTTCTGAAAGAGTTTTGCTAGGGGTTCTGCAATGACCCCGGCCAGCTCCATCAGTACTCTCGGGTGAAGTCCATCTGGTCCTGCTGACTTACAAATGTCTAGCTTTTCTAGTTGGTTTGCACCACCTCAGCATCCACAGTGGGAAGGCTGTCATTCCCATCATGCTCCCTATGATCTTTATCTCGCTTGTCATTCCCCTTGATCCGGTGAAATACCGAAACAAAGTGGGCATTCAAGAGTTCAGCTTTTTCCTGAGTGTCTGTTATCTGGTGTTAAGCATGGGTCCCAGGCTTCCATTTGTTTTCCTTCTGCTTCCTACCTAAAGAAGGACTTCTTATTGTTCTTGACTCCTTTGGCTAACTTAAATTCTGTCACCGTGTTAGCTTTCCTAATCATTTCCCTACAAGTGCAGACCACTGTTGTATAGTCCTCCTTGAGGACTGTATCTAGCTTCCACTGTGTGTACACCTCTTTTTTCTTTTTCAAGAGGACCATGATGTCCCTATTGAGCCAGGAGGGCTTGCCAGTCCTTCTGCTACCTTTCCTCTTCATGGGAATGGTTTTCTTTTGTGCTTCAAGGATTGTGTCCTTGAGAAACAACCACTCTTCATGCACCCCATTCGCCTTCCATCCCTGGTCCTGCATCACCTCCCCTACTAATGCCCTGAGCCTGTTGAAGTCAGCATTTTTGAAGTCCAGGACTTCAATCCTGCTAGCTGATTTGTCAGCCTTGCGGTGGACAGTGAATCTGATAAGCTCATGGTCGCTGTCACCCAGGCTACCCTCAATGTTCAAGCATTGTTACTTAGGATGCGTATAAGACTATAGTATGAGCATAAGGAAAAAAAAATCAGTAAGGCTGAGGCACAAACTGAGACAGTTAGCAAGGGACCCAAACAGGAACAAAAAGCATTCTATAAACACATTAGAAATAAGAGGAAGACCAGAAAAAACATTGGTCCCCTACTAAATAATACAGAAGACTGAAGTCTTCAGGCTGCACAAAAGAAGGTCAGCTGTCACAGATGTGGTAAATGTCTATATATAGTAGGGAAAGAACTAGTAAGTGATTGCCTACATAGATTAAATGTTTTCAGATCAAGGAGTAGGCTAATGTACTTGCAGCCTACAAATGATGGAGATCAAATGAAGTCTCAGAAGAGGAAAATGAATGACCATCTTTAAAAAAGGGGGCAGGGAGAAGGAGGACTCAGGGAATTATGGACTGGATTATGAACTAACACTGAAAAGAACCTGGAGAAAGCCATAAAAAATTTGGAAGCTTCTACAGTGTAACAAAGTGGTAAGGTGCAAACAAAATGGATACATCAAGAGCAAATCATGCCTAACAAACAAGATTCTGCTCTTGGGCAGGGGTGTTATACTCCTTCTGTGCCCAGACTGCAGGGCTCAGTCCAGGGCAAAGGGTGATGGCAGCATGACTGGCACAGGCAGCAGAACTTGTGCCCAGGGACTGCACAAACAGTGGCAGTAGGGCAAGTAGTAGCAAGGCAAGTGGCGACAGGGTCAATGGGGCTCTGTTGGCACAGCCTGTGCTTGCCCTCCTGTTGCTAATGGCCATCTCCACCAGGGCCCAGTGACCTTGGATTCTGCAGAAGGCCACTCCCTTGGCTATGCCCTGCAACTTCCAGTAACCCACCAGTAACCTGACAGGCCAAGTGAAGCAGCTCTGCAGGAAAGATCCAGTCCACAGGCTGTTCTAAGCTGAGCTATAGGCCTTGTGGATGAATGGATTAGTGGATGCAATACTGTCTGAACAATTTTTTGGTATATGTATTTGCATAAAAGCCAAAACCTAGCTTTCTATCAGAGTAACTTTTTCAATACATCTCTTCATCTAAATGCAAAATACTGTCTGTTGTTTGAACCATCTAGTTAGGACTTTCAAGAAGTACTCAGTTTTGGCTTAACTCCCCTCCTTCCTAAACAGATTATACAACTTCCACTGAGACCACAGCTGAGAGTCCCATCATCTCTTTAATTCATATAATTGATGCTGTATGTGGTTATAGACTGTACAAGGTCACATTACTGCAAATGCCATCTGAAAATTCCTGCCTGCTATATTCAGCCTTCTGGAAAAATAGCAAAACATTAGTATGAAGCTTAATGTCACTTGAGGTCACTTAAAAAGGGCTTTCTCTGCTTCACCTTTTGCTATTCTGAGTTTACAACACTATGAAGATCTTAATTATCTTGCTCAAAACAGGATAAACACTTTAAATTCTCCACTCGACACATGTAAGTAGAGTGCATAGAAAAGCTCAATTATCAGAGCTCTGTGGAAAGCCATGACTGTCCTCAGCATAAAAGCAGCGGTGCACTAGGCTAATGCATGCCATGAAGGTCCCTTAAGACATTTTCTTGAGCATTTACATCTCCTACTGAATCCAGGGTAATTAAATCTGTGGGTTCTTAGCACCTCTCAGGATCCAGCCTTTGGTTTGTATTTAAAAATGGGTACTTGAAAGACTACCATAATTTTCTAGACTGTCAGAGCTATCATCATCTCTTAGTTGATAGAATTGATCTGCCTTGGAGTGCAAGAGAGGTGATGCACCCCCAATACACAAAAATGGTTTATTTTTTTCCATAAAGAAATTCTTATCCCATAAAAAAGTAGTGCAGCATTTGCTCCAAATTGGCAAGTAAGGCATTAATGTGTGCAGAGGACATTGTGGAGAATTCCAATTTACAAAGTTAAAGTGATAAAAATAATCACCATTTAATTCTCAGTTGCCTAAGGAGGCAGAGAAGATAATTATCATTGTTTTATAGGGAGTAAAATAGCATTAGAGTAGATGACCAGCACAGGACCATCCAGTGGCTTGGATTGATTTTTACACACACACACACACACACAC